TATAACACGGGGTGAATTAACGTTACGAATATCCGTAACAAAATGCGCGCGTGTTTCCGCGCAGAAATTAAATTAGGCGCAATACTTTCTCGTCTCATTGACGCAGACATCGACCGTCGACAATATTAAAAGACCATAGATCGGTATCTGTTTCATGCAATTAAAGCTGACAAATTGCCTCGCCTCCGCCATCGGGAGCTTGTTAATAGAATCGCGAATCGACTAGATGAAGACTCGAAGATCGTTAGTTTGATCGTATATGAAGTGCGCTTTCAACACAATCGCGCACATCAGAAACGAATAACATTATTAATAGAAGAAGATGGGGTGTAGAGAGATGTTTTATGGTCACTAGATATTTTTTTTACAGAAATGAAATGAGATAGCTCTTACACAGCAATAAGTAATACAAATCTTGGACAATATAATATTTTTCCTAATTACGTATAAAATACATGCGTAATTTTTACGAATAATATAAGCTCGAATACAAACATATCTCGAGAAACTATTAAAAAAAAATTAAAAAAATTAAAAAAAATAAAGAAACGAGTTCTCTCTCACATCCACCGATAAATTGTCATCATTCAAGATTTTAATCATCATTTTGCTGTATAAAATGGAATTTATTACAATCTGTCTAAAGAGAATACAAGGCTCGTGCATAAAGATTAAAAATTAGGTACAACAGCAATAACGATTCGGTATACTTACAGATCAAAGACGAGATAATGGAAATTCTCTTCTTGTATACTGTCGTGCAATCTCACTGTAACAGAAAAGGTGACAAGATATGAAGCTCCTTGTTACAATAGATTTCCAATGATATATCTCTTAGATATAGCTATAAAAAGATTATGAGAAAAATGAAACATTACATTAGTGATATTATCACTATCTCATACCATTGTAAACCTGGCTATCAACTTTATAAAATATAAAAATAAATAGTATAGTCTGTTTGTGCACCTCAAAGTTGGGTGCTGATCATCTTTTAACTCCTCTATAATGTTTAACCTTCGAAGTACAAGCAAAAAAGTGTGGTACAAACAGATACAAACAGACTGTACTATTTATTTTTATATTTTATAAATTTGGTAGCCTGGTGTACAACGGTCTATCTCATCAAAAGATGTCCCACCCTTTAGTCATATCTATTATACTTTCTGCTTGCTCCCAGTATTCAGTCATTATTATCTTTCAATTAAATCAAGCAAAATCATTCAAAGATGCATTAAATGCAATAATAAAATTGAGAGAATTGTTATTTGATATAAGAATAATAATTTTATAATTTTGCTTTTTATTTTTATTTTCGAATCAATCTAATAATCTGATCGCCAGTTTTTATTATCGCATTTAATGCGCATATCTATGCTGGTAAAACTTTCCACAATTGGAACGTAAAAATGCACGCTGATTGAAATTGGGATCGTCGTCCAAGCGCGTGTCGTAATAACGTTCATAACGAGTCATTTCTGGCGAATACAGATTTTCTCACGTAACGAACAAATGTCACACACAAAATCGTTGAATCGGCGAGATAGTATCATCGAATAGATGCTGTTCTTTCGCGCGATCTTTATTGCTGTCGCGAATGATTGCGTCGTTTTCTAAAGAAACGATCGAATTATCGTGATTCAATTCAATGGTATGAAAGATGACCTAGCCAAAGATTGCAAAGCACAAAGATCGACTCTCGGATATAAAGCAATTAATATCCAGAGAGAACGGTCACTGCTATCAAAGTCTTCCTTAAAGTCAATAAAGTCCAAAAAATGCTTTTTGCGATATAAATCGAGTTTAATCAAATTGAAGTAAAGACTTAATTTAAATAATGATTTGTCTACATCCGAAAAACGGCATCATTCTGTGCGTATTATGTTCTTATTTGTATTGGCTATACGAAAGCAAGAATCACGCTGATATGTAACGAATGATACATTTTATGCGGAATGTCTTCCACGTGATATACAAGTCCTACTTTGCCAGCATGTCTAAATGTTCAGATTATCTAATTTTTTAATGAACGTAAAAGTTTTCTTCGTTATGAAAGTCACCGGCTAGGTTTTTAGATAAATGCAAGACGTCTCTTTTGTATACTGACACGCTAACAAATATAAGATTTAAATTCTTTGCTAGCAAATGCTCGGAGATTTACAAACTCTTATTAAAAACATAAAACTTGCCGCTCTCCAGTTTAGTCAACAAATTAAATTTGCAAATTATTATTGCTTGCAACTGTTCGATTATTCCACAAAATATCCAAGAAGTAACAAGAAATATATATGCTTTTTGATTGAATACCTGAAACACTTTATGCGTAGGTTATCTCAAATATGATACCTTAATCGTAGTAGCAAATTTCTTGACAAATTTCAAATAAATTTTTTATAGAAGAAAACAACTAGCTTTGTTCTTGCCTAATTCATTTGCATACTTGTCTCACCATAGCTGGTGGTGTTTCCGCCGCATTGCGCCGTTTTCTATGCGTACCTATAGCGAGATCGATCAACGAACTGGGTTGCAGCCGCTATACCGTCCTAATGAGAGTAGAACTTTCCTGAAAGATATATCACTTTGCAGTTAACACGCGATACAACAACTCACTTTGGCGTTTCATCGACGCGAGGTCTCACCAATCGAGCGAAAACCGGTATTTCCGATACCAGCTGTCATCCCACATTCGCGACGAGTAAAAGAACATTCATTAAATTGTATGATGTGAATACCGTGAGATGAATTTATACGAGTACCGTTCATACGAAAAAAAAAACAATATTAGTTAGATGTCTTTCTCGATTCTCGATCGATTAAGGTATTTAGCGATCATGCTAATGATCGAAATAAATTTGTAAAAAGTCCTCAGAATCTATTAGTAATATCAAATATTAAGCTAAAGCAACAGGAAATACATTTTGATAAAATAATTTTGATCTATAATTGAATTAAACCATAAACGTGATTATGTATATTAATATTATCGCATTAAAAATATTGATATTTGGTAAAAAACCAAATGTAAGAAAACGGGACATAAAACGCACGATATATTCATGCGTTATATAAATATTATAAACTCCACGAAATTATTGTCAGAAAAAAAATAATTTTGCGAAATTATTCGCTAAACTTGTTAATATTAAACAAATAATTTTTATTTGAATTCTTGAAACTCGTGATTAACAATGAGAAGCAATAAATATGACTCTTTACACTTTCGTCGCACTCTACATCTTTGGAAGGATCAAAGGGTCATAGAAGACCGGGCTCATACTCTCTTTCTTTGATATCGTGCCCAATCCAATAAAATTCAAACGGAGATGATAGAAGACGAGTACGAGCATTATCGGAATACGTATCGAGATGATAAAGAGGTACGACAAAAGTTTTCTCACTACACGTGGTGTCGATAGCTACGAGTCCAAGTATGCACGCATCAAAGTTCATCGAATACATCTTCTGTCCTCAGTATCCTTGTTAAGTAATCTTCAAGCTCGTGAGAAAAGCGAAAACCATCTCTCTTCGTCCTTTGATCCCTCCTTCGATCGATGGGATCAGAAAAACGCACTCGGATATACTAAGGCAAATATTATTGAGAAGAATTTCTATCGACGGAAGAAAATTTATTTCGATAGAAACATTGCTATCTTGCAGAAGAAAATTTCAAGAATAAAGTTTGAGATAAAATAAAAAGAATATTTTATAACAAATTAAAAAGAAAAAAAAAAAAGAATATCACAATGCATTTATGTAAATATGAATTACTCGTGCTGATGCTAGGGCGACAATGAACAAAATCGACAGAACGATAACGACTATGGCAGCAACGACAAGAGAGGAGAGAGAAAGATAACTAACACACAAGTATCGATCCTCGAGGCCGCACCTCGACGTAACTGTGCGCGGCGCTTCAGTTCTCGCTGCGATTAAATTTGCAAGCTCGAACCATGTTCAAAATAATAACTCAAATATTCTTAAATAAAAAAAAGCAAAAGTAATATTAATATAAAATAGAAATTTTACATTGTGTACATTTTACAATTTGTGTTAATATATTTTTCTTTCTTATAGCTTATAGATAAATGTATCTTCACGCGCACGTCTCAACATTACGCTCATCGCATAATGTTGAGAACGAGCCCATGGTTTTTTGCGAACAACCACCGGTAGCTCACGACATGTTTCTTCTCATGACACGCAACCGTATTCATCACGCGTGTGGCACGAAAGCACCTAAGGGAAGGATGATACACTGTAGAAAGAACATGAGCCATCGTCAGAGGGCAAGAGGAGAATGAAACAGGTAGGGACCGAAACGAGTTCGACTGACAAGCAAGATTGATAGGTATCACTTGTTGACTCGGACGTGAATTTTCCGTCGCACGCGGAACGTCGTGATTCGCGTATGGAGGACGACGTTGCGATTCATCGCGTTCGCCAAGCCTGATCGGCGAATAGAGCCATAAGATGAATAAAAGAAATGTTCGCCGGTCCTGGCCTTTATGAATTATGGAATTAGCACTCGCGCGGTAAATCTCAGCCTAGCCTAACAACCCGCTTCTTTACCTGTCACTAAGAAAACTAATGCAATATGAACATTACGCTCATATCTGTAATCATTACCTGTTCGGGGAATAAAAGCGTGCAAGCTGAGTAACGTCGAGTTTTTATTCTAGTGATTTTGCGCTCGTCAACATTAAGTATCTTGCAAAGCAAATGTCGAATTAAATTTCGGAAAACAGATTTTGTTTACGCGTGAAAATTGAAAGTCAACGGATATTTTCATTTTGGTAATTTTTTTACCCTCAATATGACATATCTCGGTAGTCAAGTGGCAAAGCAAATTTCTATTGAAATAAAATTCGCTTGAAATTAAATAAAAAACCAGACTTTTGTTTCGAATAAAAACACCGTAAAAAACATGGTGAGTATTTGATTTGTGGCATTTTTTCGGTTATCCATATTAAATATAACATAGAGACTATGTTTCCGATTAAACAATCAGTGTTTTAATATTTTGTAGCGTTTAGCGTAAAAAGATGTAATACACGATAACAAATTTCTTTCCCGATAAAAACAACACGCTTTATATTTCTCTACTCAGATAATCTTGTGTCAATTGCCTTGTTCGAAACATCATCGGCTTTCTGTTGTAAAGGATTAACCAACGTCACAAATCCTTTTCCGTTCATACATATTATTTATTTCTGCAGATAAACGCAGCAACATAAATTATTACATTATCGTTTATTAAATCACCGTCTTTTGCGCGCACAATTTACGAGTACCACTTAACATAATCTAGCACGCGAAATATTCGGATCGTTTTATCAGCGGCCCTCACACACGCGGCAATCAATATAAATTTAATACAGTTGGTTTAATATACGTAAGAGGCGATTTATCGAAAAATTGCACATATTGCGCGAATACCTGTAGGAATTCTAGCAAAAGTTAATCGTAAATATGTCTTTGAATCAGATAAAAGCTGATTAAACGATAACCGACTGGGCTAAATACGAAATTCGAGAAGATCGACAAAGCAAATTGCAGATGCTCTTGTGGAAGAATGCCAGGCAGACTCGGTTCGGTCGGATGCCGAGTATTGATCCACGTTCTCTTCTTCGTATGCTTTTGTTAGGGACTCTCCGAGATATCCTCTGCAACGAGGATATGGCGATGAAACGAAACGATGCGAGAACACGTACTCGTACCGTTTGCTTTTATATCCCGCTACGACGGATACGGTGCTACAATGTACTTCGA